TCTCTCTCTCTCTCTCTCTCTCCCATCTCTATATCCCTCGTCTATCACAACACCTTTATTACAAGGAATTATATTTTTATTATCATTTATCATTAATTTATGAATTTTCTACATTAATGCTTTTTATCAATAGTATGTGAGTTGCCAATGGAGTTGAATCTAATAATGAAAAATATATGTTAAATATTTTATGATATGATATTTTCTTTGATGAACAATAAAAATAAATAGTTTTCAAGTGAATCGTGATTTTTCTGCCCTATTATAACAGTAATATTTGTAATAATAATAATAATCTGATAATTATATTTTGGTTGTGATTTGTATTTTGAATGGCATTCAAACTGATACTGAATATGGGTTTTAATTGATTAGTGTTTGATAGTATCTATTGATAATTGCATGACTTAACAGCTATATTAAGTTGTAATTTAATATACATCCATGTAAATTTGCTAAAAATGTAGTGTACTTTATGTAAACTAGCACATTTGATCATTAATAAGTGTTTATTTGTTTTAATATCGTCGACATCCGTGTCTCAAAACACACGTTATAATAGCGATGTGTGCTTTTAATTATGCAATAAGTTATGCCATTGGGTATTAAGTTATGCTATATTTCTGTACTTTAATTAATAACAAATGTTTATTAATAACATGTATTAAATATTTTAATATACCATCACTTGTTTTAGTTGCGAATACCATAATGGTATAAATCTACTATTTATGGTGTTAAATGATATAACCATTTAAATATTTTATGAGCAAAATTTTATCAATCGTTTTTAAATAATAGTTTTATCAAAGTTTTATTGAAATTTTATTAAGTTTTAAATTATGTGAACAAAAGCATCACAAGTATGCATAACAAGTGGATAATCATAATAACAATCATATATCTAGTGCCGTATCTCCGGTGCGATAGTATTGGCCAAAAACTCTTCGGCAATCGGCAGGACTTTCCCGGATTGGAGGGAGTGTTGGGCGCCTTCACGGACTTCAACTACGACAGGATTACCGACGTCTTGTTGATCACCGAAAGCGGCCGATCGGTTGAAGTGGTCGACGGCGGCATCGATGAGGAGCCGTATTTGAGCCGCCGGTCAGACATTAAGTGCACGTTTGCCGACGAGTCGGGCGACCGAATCGTCGGTATCGTCGCCGCGGACTTTACCGGCAATTCATACAGCGATGTGTTGGCCGTCACTCAAAATGTCCACAAATTACCCACCGATAAGAGCTTTAAGCTGTGGCTGTTTCGGGTCAATGGGACACACATTTTGTGCAACACAACTGTGCCGTTAGTCGAGAGTATTAAGAGTTTTCCGCTGGTCTTAGGTTTGAAATAAAAAAGTTTTTTTTAAAGTCAATAAACATTTAATTACAACTATATTTCATATTACTTATGGCCGCAAAGACTATAACGGAGATATGATCGCCGACTTTATCGTCGAGTCGGACGACTGCCGCAAAGAGCTGTGGACGAGTCTGTGGCCGAGTCTGTGGCCGCAATGTCTTCACTCAATGCACACCAATCAACTCATGGCGTATCCCAATGGCAACGCTTTCATCGACTTAAGTGCGCCCAAAGACTTCGCGGCCGACGTCTACATCACCGGCGCTCACACTATGGAGTACTGGTTTCATACGCCGGGCCAGGGATTTACGGCCCAAAACTCGGTGAACATCAGTTACCCGAACCGAGATGTGTACACAGTCTGGGGTCAGTCCACGTTTGCCGACATAGACTTTGACGGAGTGATAGAGCATATGCTGCCGGTGTGTAAAGGCGGTGATATAGACGCGTGCGATGAGCCGCAGATACTGGTGTTGTCGCGCAACGGATCCGATTATCATTGGGTGGAGGCGTTGGACGAGGAGGACAGTCACGAGTTGGGTCTGACGTTCACTCAGCGCCAACTCTTCGGCTATTTGGACCTATTTGTAACGCTAAGGGCCGGCGATATGGACTCCGACGGCTACCCGGATGTGGTCACAGCTATGTTGGACCGAAACACGTCCCAAACGCGTGCCGTTTGGCTGCAAAACAGCGCGACTGACCCGCAGGACAGCATCGGTTACAGGGGTCGCAAATTTCGGATCCAATGGGTCAGTTCTGAGGAGGACTCGTCAGACGACGAGAGCATACATTTGGTGACCATATTTGACTTCAACGAAGACGGAAATCTAGACATTTTGGTGAATACACACAACGCCAATCACTCGGACATCCGGCTCCGGGCCTACGAAAACAGCGGCCAATTATCGGAAAACTTTCTCAAAGTGTTGGTCACGAGCGGCATCTGCTCGGGTGACGAGTGTCCGCACATTAGAGCACCACTCGTGGGTCCGCACGTGTGTTTCAGCCCGAGTGAGGGCAAGCAGGTTGGCTGCGGGGGACAGATGTGCCAAACGGCTCACTCGGCGCTGCAGTTGCCATTCGTGTTGTTTGGCCTAGGTGACATTCCCAACTTCATCGAGAACATCACAGTATCCATTCCGAGCGGACCGCTGCCGGCCGCCCCCCGGCGCCAGACCTGGTACGAGTTGATACCCGACTCGAACCTCATAATCATTCCATACCCGGCCAACGATACGGCCAATTGGGTCCAGAAGTTGTATTTGGATCCCAAATACTTTGCCTTCCAGACAATGATCACATTAACCTCGTTGTGTTGCCTTCTCGTCGTCATAATCGCTATTTTGCACAAACGGGAGCTAAAGCAAGACATCATTGACCAAAGGGAGTATAGAAGGCATTGGCTTTAATCGCACTCAACATTAGGGTCTATTGACGACCAAATGTCGGCACAAATAACAACAAAAGGCAACAAAATAAATGCCAAACAACTAAAGAGTGAGAGTAAAAAAGTTTTAATTCAATCGCCAATTGATATCACATAACAATATAAGCGAACAAAACGTTACAAAAATACTACTATTTATTGTGTTTATTGTCAGTGACTGTTATATACAAGAATATTCTGTGTTTTATTTAGTCAACCGTTAATGAATAGCACAGAATTCTGTGTAAGTTTTTTTTTATTACATGTTATTTTTATTGTGATATAAATAAATGAATCGTTTTTATTATTATAATTAATCGTTATTATTGCTTCTGTTGGCCATTAAATTCATTATAATTTATACCCTAATGCTATAGTGCCTAATGATCTGCACAACCAGTGATTATTATCCGAAACAATAATTGCCAAAAATAAAGTGATAATAAATCGTTTTGATTATTCGTCAACAGAATATACTGTTCGTCTTATATTAGGCACAAAAATGTTAAAAATAAACTATAAATGCCATTTTATTTAAATAAAAAAATGTAATTCAATGTACAGGTAGGGAAATATATTCCATCGCGGACACCAAGTAATTCAGTTAGTGTTTATTTGTTATCGCATAGAAACACATAACAAATAGCGACAGGAATAACTCAATAACAACAGAATATTCTGTACTCCAACCGAGTGTTTGCATACATTTGTCGGCCCATTATGTGATGTAATAGACGGACAAAAGAGTATTTCTAGTCTTTTTTGTTGCTATAATCCGTCAAAGAAAACGTAATGAACATTAAAAACAAAATATGGTTTAGTATTGTATTAGAAAAATGAAAATGGTTGAGAAAATAACAGTGGTGCGCTATTATTTAAATGTTTGTTACATGCCATATGTATTATTGTATTTGTAAAATCTAAGCATTATGGTTGTATAATATTTGTTTTGCATAACTGCCAGCACCGCCTACTATTCCCAAAACCGTAAATATAAGTTTTCTATTGCTTTTGCCTTATATTTCATAAATCTATTAGTTATAAAACATTGTGCAATAATATCTATAATGATCTCAAGACAATTGTAGATATATTTTTATAATAATAAAAGACAATATTATATAAATAATTGTTAAATTCAGTGGTGTGTATGTGTACACAGACTATACATGTATACACATATCGATTCCTTGAAATTCATGATAAAAAATAAAAGTTTTTAAAAATTATATGAAACCTTAAGTTTTATACGTAGAATAATATTATATTTTACATAATATATCATTTGAGTTGTTATTTTTACCTAGAATTTCGACTACTGTTTTGTTTGAAAATTCATATTTGCAACGAATCGCTGAGAAAATGTCATCAATTCAATGAATTTCAAGCTTATTATATAGATATATATACAGAATATTCTCGTTAATGATATTTTTTGATTAAATTCTCTGTGACTAACAAAATAGTTAGGCAAGAAATTAATATATATATATTAAATTCATACGTTATAATTACAAGCGTTGACTGTGTTTTATGTGCAGACTTTCTACCGTTTTGTGTTGTTTGTGAAGTGAAGTATAAAAATATATAAAATATTAATTCATATATAAATTATTATTATAATAATTGGCAAAAATATATACACAAGATATAAGTTTTTGTCTTTGACCTAAAAATATATTTTGTTTATTTCGTGTGGGTTTTTATGGCTATTATATAAAGAGTAAAATATATGAAACAAATTTTCGTCTCCTTTTATATATGTTTTTTGTGCCGAAAGTAAATCAAAAAGTTATTAATAATATTTGTTTATGAATTCATTGCTAAACAGAAGTTATTCACTAAAGAATTGAGATTTTCATTCATGTTTTAATGGATTCATAAAATATTACTTAATTTATAAATTTAAATTCAAATCTCATTTAATTTGTGCCCTAGTTTTAATAACATAAATATAATTTATACCACTATTTACTGTACGAAAACATAATAATCTCGTTGGAAAACTTGTGCTATTTATGTAAATAATTAGCATTTATATTAAGGATTTCTCTCATATGAAACAACACTAATAATTCATACATTATATTAAGTTTTGTTATTATTGTTGTTATATTTCAACCGAAGGCTAATTGAATACTGGCTTAACGATGGGCTGTACGGCCAGTACATCGGATGCACAGAATAATAACGTTAATTCTCAGCCCAACAAGAATCCAACCATTAATTTAAGTCAAACGGATTTCAATACTAATTATGGTAAAAGAAATGGAGATATGAATGACGGAGAAGAGGGACAACTTGGGCAACCAGGTCAGTTTGATTTAATATTTCATCTAGCTGTTATTTCATTTAATGCAAAATGTATACAATCTGTTATTTATGATGTTGTTTATTGTGTTTATTGTGTTTATTTAAAATGTTTTATAACATTGACCTCTATTTATAGACTATTTGCTTATTTAGTTGTACAAATTTTTATTATCATAAATATACAGTTACAATAATTTTAAACATGTCTGATATAAATTACAATATTATACATATTCTGTATAATTTGTAAATACAGTATGAATTTATCTAAATTAATACAAACAATATTATTATTAGACAAAAACATCACAACTAATTAACTTTGAAATATTAATATCATTACAAAAATATTTAAATAATTTTATGCCTATTTTGACAGAGTTTTAAATAAAGCGAAACAAAAATCAATTTTTTGAGATAAATTTAAAATATTTTATTTGACTTTATTTTATGTTAAATATTTATTTTTCAAGTTTTATTTGTGATTCGCGGAGAAATCGATAATTGCATTAACTTAACTGTTGTAAATTTTAGCTTTATATTTATATTCACTGAATATTTATGTGAATTCATTTATTAATGTCTGTGATAATTATAATGTGAATAAATAATACGATAATTATTGATTTTAATCTTGTGTTTCATTATATTATTGCAATTTTTAGATTAAATTTATACTGAATATGAATAGACCTTTGATAATAACACTAAATATATAGAAAATATATATAAATTTTATGTTTGGTATAAAATCAAAGTCACAGCAAAAAATTGCATAACTATTCTGATAGGAAAATACAAATTTTACTTTAAATACAACGAATAAATAACAATACATTCATCATGAAAATTGCTGACATATAAAAAAGTGTAATTCATATGCATATACAGCAAGTAATCGTTTTTATATTCAATATCTAAACTAAAAACGGCTAACAATTAGTTTAAAAGCTATTTTTGAAGTCAAATGCCAAACACTACACAAGAATTCAATTAATTATTAAATTGTATTACTTTTGTGCCACAAAATACCACTTCAAGACCTGAATTCGTGATTAGTATTTGAAAATAAAAAACTTTAGGGAATTCTCTTCAAAGGCCTGTATGTATCCAATAATATAACCATTTATTAATTATAGCATTTACATCGATGTAATTGTTATTTATTTATTATTAATGAGAACTAAATTATAAGTTTTGTGATAATTCTGTCTCGATGCATTTTGCATATTTATATTTAACATGCTTAAAATATAGGGTGTTTTTTATTGGACTACAACATTATAAAGTCGAATATCTCGAAAGGTATTCGGTCTAGAAATTCAAATGATATATCAAAATACTCATCAACTGCGGGAGTTTTTGTTGTGATATGGTCAATATGCTAGACCTTTTATTTTAATAATAATCTCCAATCAAGCAAAATTTTATCATTTTTTCCATAGACATAATGTTAAATTCAAACTTATTTTTGAACAAAATCCTAAAATTGATATTTAGTAATTTTTGCTCCTGTTTAAGAATATTTAATCAAAATTCTTGGGCTGTGTGTAGTTTTTGAAATATAGAATATTTTTTACAAAAGTTGTGTATTTTGAGATCATATAAATCCGAAATATTGACAAATCATTAATAAATCAAAAACTACATATAGCACAAGAATTTTGATTACATATTCTTAAACTGGAGCAAAAATAACTTGATATCTATTTCAGGAATTTGTTCAAAAATAAGTTTATATTTAACATTATGTCTATGGAAAAAATGATAAAAATTTGCTTGATTGGAGATTATTATTAAAATAGGAGGTCTAGCATATTGACCATATCACAACAAAAACTCCCGCAGTTGATGAGTATTTTGATATATCATTTGAATTTCTAGACCGAATACCTTTCGAGATATTCGACTTTATAATGTTGTAGTCCAATAAAAAACACCCTGTATATTACTTGTTATATTAAAAGTATATAAAATGGAAAGTTTTATGTAAACACATTTATTTAAATTATATCAGGACACTAAATGTCTGTAAAAATTATTTAGATAATTTAATCTTAATGTTAAAAATTAGTTTATTTAAAACTAGCTAATAATTAAATTTAACTATTAATTTGTTTGTGTTATATTATTGGTCGGCAACGAAGTCTCTATTAGAGACTTGGAGTAGAAAAGCCAATTGTCATACACAACATTAAAATTATTTTTTTAAATTTAATTAAAACATTAAGATAGATAAATAATTTTTGAATTTTT